AAGCCACACAATCCAATCCTACAAGTAATTACAATAATATTCATGAAATAATAACACCCATATCATACAGTTTAGAAAAAGGGTCAAATCAACTCAAAATCCCAATTTCAATAATAGGATTTGAATATGAAAATCATTAGTTGAATACATTATCCAAGACATTAGGAACTCATAAGTAAAAGCAATTTAAAAAAAGGATTTGAAACCAGTTCATAATCACTATTTTACATTAAAAAATCCAAGTTCTTGAAAACACCCAATTTATCATTTGAAAACTTTGATTTGAACACTTGTAATTATAAATAATAATTGTGAAATGCAGATTTAAGATTATGAATCGTTACCCAAATATTTATTCTCAAAAGCCTTGTTTAAATTGTCACACAAAAGCTCCCAAAATTCAGAAATGGAGAAATGGGGATGAAACCCCGAAGTTTGGAACATTTTTGTCTGGGGTCTTATGCAAATGAGGACTTCTACCCGCGAATGTAGGATTTAATGAACTGACCCTCCGCGAACGCGGCAGGGCTCGCTCATGAGATTGTGGAGGTCCACTAATTGATCATCTGTGAACGTGGAGGTCAAATGCTTGATCCTCCGTAAATAGGATCAAGCCTCCGGGAATGCAAGGTACCCACAAGTTACCCTTTACGAACGTGTCCACCAGCTTGGTGGACACATAGGGCTGAACACCTAAAGTCCAAACCAACAATCAATAACAACAACTCTGAAAGGGTCCCCAAGATTCGTTCATAATCATGTACATGCAAACAAAATATGCTACTTGACTATTCTCGGCATTCTAGGCACAATGGAACCATCGAAACACGAATCTAAGTTCTCCTTGACCTCAAATATGTTAAAATAAGTAAAAAGAAACATAACGCCTAGAAAGGCTAAATCAAGCTCGGGACCCCTAAAAATCAACCAAGATTTCCTTTAGACCTAAAATAATCTCCCGAATCCAAAGGAACCATCGAAAATCCGATCAAAGCATTCGAACCCTCGATATTCACTAAGGTCAACTCAAAGGCTAAAATTTCACAAATTTCAAACTTAGGATCTCAATTCCATGAAAAGCCTCCGAATCTGAAATGAACACCTCCCTTAGACCAATTTCCTTAATCAAGGATTGGTGGAATTGACGAAATTATATTCCAAGACTTTAAACTCCAAAAAACAGAGAAAACCACTTTTATCAACTTTAGCCATTCAAAACTTGAAAAATTCCACAATTCACAACTTTTAACTTCAAAGTTCGAAACAAATTTGAAAATCCATTTAGAAATGACAGGGTCATTATCGGGAGGGGTAAAATGGTAATTTAATGAAAAATTCCAAAAATGAACTTCCCTTTCATTACAACAAATGCTTTTAAATACAATGTTCTAAACATGGCCTAAGTTATGAGAATTTCCACGTATTTAGTATGATTTATGACAAAGATCACAAAAGGAGCTTTGAGATATGGATTAATGTTATCTTTCCCTCTTAACTGAGAAGATGCTTAGAATATACGTCTTTGAATTACTAAAGAGAAATTTCATTATTTGATGTTCCAAACACATCATTCTTGAATGAATAAAAGCAGAAGTTGCTTTGTTTTAAGTCAGCCTGAAACGGGATCTAAAATTCAACTAAACTCCCAAGTTTGCTCCCCTCTCCTCTGAGGCCAATTACATCCACTTTTTGGAGCTCCTCACCTTTGAGTACGACAAAATTGCACATTAAAAATGATTTTTAAAAAAAAGCTTAAAGAGGAAAAAAAAAGACGTAGGCCATGAGAGGGAAGCAATTGCATTGATAAATCAATATTTTGTCATAAATAAGATAATACTTATTTATAACAAAATCAGAGACAAAAGAATTTATCAGCGGTGCTTGAGTTAGAGTTAAGCCAAGTGATTTCAGAGAAGAAATTTTAGTTGCCCATCTTATTCATTTCATCATACAACATAACATATACATAGTTCTTTCATTTAGTATAAAAAGATGAAAATACAATTGAAATGAAAGGTTTGTTAAATCAAAAATGGGGCAGCATATAATTGGCATATTGAATGCATTAAAATAAATTGTTGTATTTACTATTTAGTATTATAATATTAGATGTTTAATAATACTTTTATGTAGTGCAGGAATAAAAAGGTAATTCAATTTTACACTTTGGAGCTTCCAACTTTTAATAATACTATACTTCTAGCATCTTAAAAGCATTTATTTAATAGAAGGCATCGAAAGTGAAGGTAAAACATCGAAAGGAATTAACATCACATCATAATTAATTCTAGAGGACACAATCTTGTGATATCATGTAAGCAAAGAAGTAAAAATAAAAAGGAAAAGAACTATGCTCATATTTATGAAAGAAGAAACTAAAAAGATAATATTTGGACTAGTAACAAAGACATAAAATATTTATTGAAAAATGCATATACCCAAGTTTAAACCAACTTTTTTGAATTTGACAAGCCACCATTTTCATCAAAGTAAATTCTCTTTATATGCACTAAATGTATATAATGGGTAAGAAATGAAACTTCAATCAGATAAATCATTTTCTACTACATAAGTGCCTTGTCACTTTTTCTCTTTTTTTCTCCCTCTAAACTCTTCTTTAATCGTGTATTTAATTTTCAATAGCATAACTTTTTAATTCTCTATTTTTTTCATATTAATGTTGACTAATATATTTAATTATGAATTAATAACTTTTTCAAGTTCTGAGAAGCATTTCCGTAATAGAACTTTCAACTTTGGGGATCCCCACTTTTAATAATACTAGTCTATGGAAACGTGCGTTGCACGTTTGTTCCTTAACACTATTATAGAACTTTGATATATTTAAAAATTAAGTTATGAAATAGCAAATTTTAAAATTAACAATATATATTTTATATTTGTATTTTATTCATTAAATAAATTACATAAAAGTGGGACAGGACATTTTTCATGAAACAAAAAATGTGTGAAGTCAATTATGACAGTATAGTCTCGAATGGTCTAAATATGTCGATGAATTGTTGGATTAAAAATTAATAAATTCATAGAAATGTCTCTAACGAAATTTTCAAATATATGAACATACGAACAAATACCAAAAACGTAAAATGATAAGACTGAAATTTTATCATAGTAACAAAAACAATATGTATATCCATTCACTAAAATTACACACTAGCTCTAAATATTATAATCCAAATGGGTTGACAACAAAGTAGTTAATTGTATGACAACACAAGAGTCATAAACTTGACCTTGATATAATGTAAGATCTCCAAAATGGTCAAAATACAAACCACATATTATATTATATGAATAAAGCCTTTTAATTCACATTGCTTCACACTTATGAAGACGATGATAATTCATTATCGATTTATCATATTTACAAATCGATAGCTCATAAATCAAACAACTAATATATAAAGTTGGATTGAACATATTAATAAGCTACCCTAATAAAAGTAGATGTTATTGAAGGCTATTTTAAGAATAGAGGCAGAAAAAGACTCTTGGTTGATTTCAACACTTTGTTTTCTCATTATAAATAATATAAAACATAAAATGATTTTTTATATGACTTATCCCAATAATCACAATAAACTATAACTAAATAATATATTCTTCAAGATTATAAGAATCAATACCCCATATAATTCTATAGTTTTGCTTCTCATCATACATGATACAACATCAGATGTATATTATGAAAATTATCTTGTGTGATAACTTTTCATTATTCCAAATACAATCCACTTACATATAATAGGGATGATGATCTTACAAACACATTGTATATTTTTATCAAGTTCAATAATTTAACAAACGAAAATCAATTAAGCAACTAAAATCCTGATAAATAAATCACAAAAAATACTCAAAAGAAAAATACTTGAAATTTCTACCTGTAAATTTTGTTATTGTTTTCCACCAGGTTAATGACTGCATATGATACTCGTTACTCATGCAATATATTATCACTAAAAACGCTCAAGAAAATTATCAAATATTAAAAATAAAAAATATCCATAAGGAAAAAAAAAATCACCACAAAAATATTACACCCATATTTCAGCTAATACCTAAATCAAAATCATAATTCAATATATAATTCAATTCTGAAAAACTCCAGAAGAAAAGAAAAATATATAAAGTCTAATTAACTTGATAAAAATATATAACACTCACAATACCCTTCAATTGTTAAAACGTGTTGTGTGGTGATATTGTAATTAATAGAGGCTGCACATAAAACTAAAAACAAATAAATACCACCTTAATTGTTAAAAAACATGACTTTTGAGCTTCTTGAAACCTAATTATAAAGAAATAAAGAAAATATTGTAGAAAAATATAAAAAGACATTCAGGGTTCTTTTAAAATATTAAATAAATAATAGAAAATTAATAACAAAGATATATGAAGCGACATTCATGATTTTTGAATATCAAATAAATAATAGAAAATTAATAACAAAAGAGAAATGAAAATTTTAATGCAGAGCAAAATAGAGTTTACCACCAATTTATTCCTCCAGACGCATTGAGTCATTGAGATATATTTATCTCACTCACCAATCTATTATGTAAATCAACCATATATTCAGTCTAAAAAAGCTTTGGCTAGCTAATTTTGAAAACCCGAATAAACCTCAAAACCTAGCAATCTCGGCGGCCACCATGGCCGTTACCACCGCCTGTGGGAGTAGCCCACCGGAGGACTTCCCACCTTTACCAAACCGATCAAAACCAGGAGCGACCCCAATTCCCTCATCTCCACAGACCAACCAATATGCAAACTTGTTGAAACCCCGATCCTTGCTGCCACAAATAACTAAAGTCCTACCAAAGCCTGTGAACATAGTGCATGAAAGTAAAGAGGGGGGTGAATTAAAAATTCCCTCAGTCGACTTCCTGTGAGGAGTAGTTGACTCACCTGCAAGTTAGTTCCAAAGTATAAAACAAGATAAGATGCTGAAAGTAAATTGACACAGGATGTTTTTATACTGGTTCGGATCACCGATGTGGTGCCTAGTCCAGTCCCCTTGGGTTTCAAGGGTTTCCTTTAGAGCTTGATGAGAACTTGGTTTGACAGGAAGTGTAATCTTTAAGTCCTGTCTGATATGCAAATCAGAACTTCTATGTCGACACTGCCTCTACTTGTATAACCTACACTCAGAATCTTTCCTTCTCTTTTTCTTTTACAATTGTTCACTCACGTGTACAGAGCTTTATGAAGGATGAAAGAAGATTACAATATAAGTTCAAGTGAAGTTGTGTGCATCACAACTATGGCTGAGAGAGGCTTAAATAGCTTTTCTCTTTTGCGGAAACCCAAGGGTATTTGAATTAAGGATTATTGATGATATCCTTGATTCGATCCTAATTGATTTGTTGAGTCATGTCCATATCAGATATGTGCATGAGCAAATCGAGTCCTTCCTTGTATGATGATCTCTTGATTCTTGTCTTGTTCTTTATCATCTTGACTTCCTTCTTTGATGCTGACTTCTTCCTTAGAGACTGATTATGGCTGATCTTGTTTCCTTAATTATATCCTTTGATAGATGCGTATTGTACTCCTATATTGATTGAGTGAATGTCTTCTTCTTTCGATGTTCTTGTTTCCTTGTGTATGTCCTTTGATATGTGCAGGGTTGTCTTGATTGATTTAAACAGATATTCCCTTTCCTTTCTTGTGTGCTTGACTCTTTCAGCAGATTCCTTTCCTTAGGCATTTTGTGCTTGACTTAGTTCTCTTTCTTTTCCTGCAATAGACAGTAAGTCAGTTACGTGTTTACATTATTAAAACTTCTTGATCACATGGGGCTAACTTCTTGATTTTTACCCCAGATTTTTATAGTTTTGAAGATTTCTTTATTTCCACACATGTGTCTAGAGCATCCATTGTCAAGCACCCACATTCCTTTTCTGTAGGTTTTCTTAGATGGCTCCTGTAAGACAACAAGATTAGTTTCTTTTAGGTACCCAAGTATTTTTGGGTCCTTGATGATTAGTAACTTTTGGTCTCCAGATCCATTTTCCAAAAGAATATTTCTACAGTTAAAAGATTTGTGACCGAATTCTCCACAAGTATAACAAGCAACTTTAGTAGAATTATCAGGAGAATGAGAACTTAATATAGATCTATTTGATTTGTTACAATTTTGATTTGGAGATCTTCTCCTGTTGAGAATAAATATGTTAGATCTAACATAACTATGACTAGAAGATTTCCTGGCACTATTTAGCTGCATTTTTACTTCCTCCAGTTCTTCTGTTAGTAAGTCGACTTCAATCTGACTTGCTTCGAGAAGAATCTGCCAATCTTTCTTATCTTGAGCAATTTTATTGTATTCGTCAATAACCTTCTGTAATTCATCAGCAACCATGTCCAGAGAATTTTGTAAATCATTACAATTAGGACAATTAAAGGGTCTTACCTCACTTGTTTCACCTAGTGCCATGAAACATACATTTTCCATTTCATCATGATCATCGTCAGTTGTTTCTCCTTGATCCCATGCTCCTAGACTTTTTGGATCTGCATTTCTTCGATTATTTTTTCTTCTTCGTTCTAGGAAGTTTTGTTTGATATGTCATATTTGTCAACAATAGTAGCATCGATCATCATTCCTTTTGAAATCATTGTTCTTGAAATCCTATTGAGGTCTCTGTCTTCTTTGTCTAAGCATTTGTCTCACTCCTCGGTTTATGAGAGCCATTCCTTCGTCTTGATTTTCACCAACATTTTCTTCAATTTCAGATGTCTCAGCTGTGAATGCCACCGTATTCCTTTTATCATCTTTATTGTACCTGTTAATATGATTCTATTCATAGGCCATTAAGTTGCCTCAAAGTTCATCTACGTCATTTTATGCAGATCTCCATCTTCAAGAATTGCCGTTTTGGTTTCCCAAGCCTTAGGAAGACTTCTAACGAGTTTCCTGACTTGTAGTGCATTTGAATACACCATTCCAAGTGAGTTCGCACACAATTTTACTGAATCTTGAGAACATGGATTCAACGTTTTCATGTTCTGCCATTTTGAACAATTCATATTCATTTACAAGTGAACTGATCCGAGCTTCCTTCAATTTAGTGGTTCCTTCATAAGTTACTTCAAATTTGTCCCACATTTCTTTCACAGTTTCACATGTTGAAATCTTGTCAAATTCGGCTCCACTCACTGCACAGTATAACAAACTTATAACTCTAACATTAGTTTGAATTACCTCTTGTTGTTCCTTAGTGATATCGAACGATTAAGGGTCAAATGGCTTTTCAGTGCCATCTTTTTCAGTCAATTCAGGAATAAGCTTTGGACCCTTCTTAAACACAATCCATGCTTGATGATCATTAGAGGAGACAAATATTCTGAACCTGTCTTTCCAGTGAGCATAATGTTGTCCATTGAAATATGGTGGTCGATGTGAAGAGTGTCCATCTTGAAGTAGAGCGCCAGGAATCTGATAGTGTGCCATTGGATCTTTGCTCACGTGTGGTTAAACACTTAAAAAGTCGGCTTCCTGTGAGGAGTAGTCGACTCACCTGCAAGTTAGTTCCAAAGTATAAAACAAGATAAGATGCTGAAAGAAAATTGACACAAGATGTTTTTATACTGGTTCAAATCAGCGATGTGGTGTCTAGTTTAGTCCCCTTGGGTTTCAAGGGTTTTTTTTAGAGCTTGGTGAGAACTTGGTTATACATGAAGTGTAATCTTCAAGTCCTGTCTGATATGCAAATCAGAACTTCTATGTAGACACTACCTCTACTTATATAACCTACACTCAGAATCTTTCCTTCTCTTTTTGTTTTACAATTGTTCACTCACGTGTACAGAGCTTTATGAAAGATGAAAAAAGATTACAATATAAATTCAAGTGAAGTTGCGAGCTTCACAACTATGGCTAAGAGAGGCTTAAATAGCTTTGCTCTTTTGCGGAAACCCAAGGGTATTTGAATCAAGGATTATTGATGATATACTTGATTCGATCCTAATTGATTTGTTGAGTCATGTCCATATCAAATATGTGCATGAGCAAATCAAGTCCTTCCTTGTATGATGATCTTTTGATTCTTGTCTTGATTTTTATCATCTTGACTTCCTTCTTTGATGTTGACTTCTTCCTTAGAGACTGATTCTGGCTGATCTTGTTTCCTTAATTATATCCTTTGATAAATGTGTATTGTACTCGTATATTGATTGAGTGAATATCTTCTTCTTTTGATGTTCTTGTTTCCTTGTATATGTCCTTTGATATGTGCAGGTTTATCTTGATTGATTTAACAGATATTCCCTTTCCTTTCTTGTGTGCTTGACTCTTTCAGCAGATTCCTTTTCTTAGGTATTTTGTTCTTGACTTAGTTCTCTTTCTTTTCCAGCAATAGACAGTAAGTCAGTTACGTGTTTACATTATTAAAACTTCTTGATCAGATGGGGCTAACAAATTCCCTCATCATCCAAGAATATTTACGGTATGCAATTATCGGCAAGTTTTCATATGGCAAACCAGATATCCAAGAACTGACAAGGACAATCCCTAGACAATGTGGAATAAAGTGTGACTGCACGATTGGTTTGTTGGATACGAGACATGTGCTGATTCACGTGACGACGATGGAAGATTACATGTACCTACTGTCGAAAGTGGCCTTCTATGTAAAGGCCAAAGAGAACTATTGGCAGATGAGAACCCTTAAGTAGGACCCGTGGTTGAGCCTGATGTTGAAAAACCATTGGTGTAGCATGGATTTCCTTTCCAGATCTTCCACCTAATTTCTTTGCGAAGAAGGCCATTTTTTCGATAGGTAGTGTAGTAAAGGACCTAACCAGATAAGGCGAGTGGGATGAAGACGTTATATGGGAAATATTTCCTATGGAATTTGCAGACCATATTCTGTAGTTTGTGACACCTCCTAGGGGCAGAGTGGAGACTGATAAACCAGTATGGATGCTAGATACAAAGGGATCATTCTCAGTGAAGACAACATGGAACTATATCAGGCATAGAGAGGAACCAAATAAAATCTATAAATGGATATGGACGAAAGGGGTACCTTTTAAAATGGCTTTTCTAATGTGGAGACTATGGAAGTTCAAGATCCCACTGGATGATAAGGTTAGGAGATGGGAATATAGGGGCCATCTAGGTGTTGGTGTTGTGAACAACCAGAACAGGAAACAATGACCCATGTTTTCCTAAGATCCCCTTATGCTAACAGGACATGGTTCTACTTCTGTTCTTTTGCAGGTATCAACATAGCAAGACAAACCTTAAGAGGAACAAGCATGGAACGGTGGGATACAAATGGCAGAGCAGACATGAACCTTATTACAGAGCTCTACCCAATTTTGTAATATGAGAGCTATGCGAAGGAGGAACAAGATAAAGCATGAAGGGAAGAGTATTTCAGCACAAAGACGTATTCATAACATTACAAGACATATGCATATGCTAATCAGAGTTCGTAGGCCAAATATGAGATGTCCGGTAAATTGGTCTGAAATGATACAAGAGCTAGAGAAGTATCGCCCAAGAATGAATGCTAAACTGATAAAGTGGGAATATCCCCCTAAAGGCTGGTTTAAATATAATACGGATGGGGCATCTATAGGAAACCCAGGGAGAGTTCCTATGCTTTTTGCCTAAGGAATGAAAGAGGAGACATAATCTATGCGGAAGCAGCAGCAATTGAGAGCAGTACCAGTACGAGGTCAGAAACGAAGGCGATATTAGAAGCAAGTAAGCATTGCACACGGACACAACATAATCATATCATCATTCAAACATATTCTCTATTACTATACAAAGTTTTAATGGGTGAGTGGAATGTACCATGGTGCATCAGTGATACAATTGAGGAAATAAAAGCTAACCTAAGTGGGAAAGAGCACAATTCGAGGACATCATGAGAGAAGGAAACCAGTTAGCAAACTATTTAGTGAACAGAGCAATAGACCAAGGGAACTGTATTTTTTCAGATTTCAGGAGCATGGATATAAAAGGACAAAGATCATCAACAGTGATAAACTAAATTGTCCATACATAACAGTTTTACCACAAAGGAGATAGGGGATGGGAAGGCTAAAGAATTGTTCTTTCACATATACAATATTTATAGAGAGCCTCGAGGGCAACAAGAAGTATGAAAAGCAAGATAGCCTAGGACGTCGCAGCCAACAAACACAGACTCAACAAAAAGGAGAAGTTGAGTTGCATAAACCTGGAAGTCGCGTTAAGCACCAATCTGAGAAGGTGGACTGGGGTTCTCCAAGCAGCACAGTCAATCAACACCTACAACAAATAAATCATGGAGCTAAGAGTAGGAAATAGGGAAAAAAAGGATAAGGAACTGTAGAAAGAAGGAGATCAGAATAGATGAAACAAAGGGACTACGGAAACTAAAACTGAAGAATCACTCACTCTTGATAGATTAATCGACCCAATCGTTCCCAAAGCATGAAGCGAAGCCGCAGATCGCAGGGAGCAGTTCAGCATCAGGTGAAATGAATAGGAATTGAGTAGAAAGGAACTTAGTGGAAGTAGCGGATTAGGAAATCCTACTCTTTAGGGACGTGTACATAGAAAGAAAGCAGAGGGCTGGGCTGATCTTTCTTGTGTTTCATTTTTGTTTATTGGATTTCGGCAATAGGACCAAATGAGTTTGTACTGATCTTTGAATAAATAAAAAACAAAAATTTGCCCAAAAAAAAGTCATTGAGATATACGACGTTTCAGTCATCATTGAAAATTGAAATGAAAAAATTTAAAAGCACATTTAATATTATAATTAATATATTTAAATGATTGTTTTAAAGTTCTTTTACTCTAGCATAATGTATGGTATATATTCCCAATAAGTATTACATGGAAAATTGAACAGACTACGATAAATTTAGTTTCTCAACTAAATAATTCATTCTAAAATATTTAATGTTCTAATAATATTTATTGTAATATAAGATTTTTTTTAATAAATAAAATATTTTTTGGAAATAATTTTAGCTTGATATATTCACAATAAGTATTACACGGAAAATTGAAAAGACTATAATAAATTTAGTTTCTCAACTAAATAATTCATTCTAAAATATCTAATGTTCTAATAATATTTATTGTAATGTAAGTTTATTTTTTAATAAATAAAATATTTTTAGAAATAATTTTATCTTGAGGGTAAAATGGTAATCCAAGTTTTCACTTTGAATCTTCTCACTTTTTAATAATATATGATGATGATATGAAATATGATATATATACACACACACTCACGATGAAGACACGTGATCATCATGTGCAATCCTCGTAGATCTCGTAAATTCTTTTTAATTTTTAACCTTCACATGATACTTTATTCCTATTTTATCATTTTAGTACTCATCTAAAAAATATTAACGGTCTATTATCATGTCTTTATATACATCATGTGACATTAATTCCTCATTTATGAAAATTTAGTTATGCAATTTGCTATGTAATTAAAATTTAAAATCTAGTGGGCTTTACATTGCTCTTGTCCTTCTCTCGTGCCTAGACTTTTGTCTAAAATCATGAGTTGGATTGGTAATGTTGGATTATATGCAATTCTAGCATAATTTTTTTAGGTGTATTATAATTTGTCTATGCCTTTTAATACCTTCTCACGATGAAGATATGGGTCGTCATGAAAAATCCCGGTAGATTGTTTTATTTAAAACTTCACTTCAAGCTTTATTCCTATATTTTCATCTTAGTGTACTTCTGAAAAATACTATATGTCTATTATCATGCTGTGACATACATCATGTGACATTAACTCTTCATTGATGACGCTTTAGTAAGGCAATTGGACATGTAATTAAAATTTAAAATCTAATGAGTTTTCCATTTCTCTTGTCCTTCTCTAGTGCCTAGATTTTTGTCGCCTCACAATAGCCTCAAATCATGAGCCTTTTTGGATTGGTAATGTCGGATTATATGCGATTCTCACGTGATTTTTTAGGCGTATTATAATTTGCCTAGGACTTTTAATACCTTCTCGCGGTGAGGACACTAGATCATCATAAGCAATCCGTATAGATTCTTTTTAAATTTCAACCTTCACTTGACGCTTTATTCCTATTTTTTTCATTTTAGTACACTTCTAAATAATACTAATCATCTATTATCATGCCGTACCATACATAATGTGACATTAATTCCTCATTGATTAAATTTTAAAATCATACATATGTAATATACATAATGTGATTAAATTTTAAAATCGAATGAGTTATCCATTAATCTTCTGTCACAACCCTGACCCATCATGAATGACAACCACACTGACTCTCTGGTGGGAGAATCAACTACCAACACACTACTAAAAAACTACTAAAAAATGACGAAAGTAAAAGAGACGGACGACATCGCTCCAAAAAGTGACACGATTAGCCACACTGTCCGTCGCTTTTTAATTAAAATTAAAAAAATTAAAAGCGACGGATGGCATCGCTTAGTCCGTCACTTTTTTTGTGGATTTTTGCGCCAAATATATATATAATGAATAATTAATTTATTTTATTATAGATAGCGACGCAGTCCGTCGCTTTTTAATTAAAAAAAAATTATTTATTTAAATTTAAAAAAAAACGGTCACGCCATCCGTCGCTTTTTATTAATTTTAATTGTTTAATTATTTTTTAAAATTAGCGACGGATAGCATCTTTATGTCCGTCGCTTTCTGGTCAAAATATCTGGTCAAATATTTTAAAAGAGCGACGGACAATATCTCTTAGTCCGTCGCTTTTTGGTCAAAATGTTGGTCAAACATTTTTTTTAAAAAGCGACGGACATAAAGACGTTGTCCGTCGCTTTAAAAAAAAGAATGATAATATCAAAACCCTAAGTCAAGTCTCACTCCTCTCTCATCGGCGCCCATCCCCGACCCATCCCCATCGGCGCCCATCCTCACCCATCCCCGGCCGGCGCCACGCCACCATCCCCGACTGGCGCCACGCCACCATCGCAGAAGCAGAGGCAAGTCGCGCGCAGCAACATATCGAGGTCGCGCGCAGCCGCAGAAGTAGGTCGCACCAGCAGCAGGAGGTCTTGCCGCCTCCATCCCGATCGACGCCACCTCCATATTAGCTTTCTCAGTTCGCGCCACCATCCCCGACCTTCTTACTCAAGGTGAATTTTTAGAACCTCCATAACATATTACTTTTGTTTCTATTTAGTTGAAGTATCTCAAAATTAGAGTACTAATATACTTAGTTCAATTTATATTTCACCATCTAAGGTTCCTATGTTTGTCCAGAATTTGATTGCCCTCTTATTAGTCTTAATGTTAGCCAAACATACACACACATACCGATTAACATTTGTTTCTTTTCGTGCTAGGCAACTGACCCCAACCTCGAACCACTGCCTTTCTCTTTTAATTCAAGGTTAGGGTTTCATAATATTATTTTTAATTTCTTTCAATTTGAGTATTGAATTTGTTAATTAGTGTATTGAATTAGTTTTTTATTGATTGTTAGTTAGTAAGTGAATGATTTAGGGTTTTTGATTGTTAGTTTGAATTAGGGGATTATTTGATTGTTAGTTTGTGTTTGTTGATTGTGAATTGAAAATTTTAATGTTAGGGTTAGTTTGAATTAGGGTATCTTAGGATTTGTTCGAAATTCGGTATTTCTTGAGTTAATTAGTTTGTTTTTGGAATTGTAAGATTAGATTGAATTTGGGTATTATTTGAGTTAGTTTGAATTATTATTGAGATTTTAGGACTAATAGTTAGAATTTGGGATTAGGAATTGCTAGCTAGCTAGTTTGAATTTAGGATTTTAGCACTAGTTAGATTTTGGAATTTTAGGACTAGTTTGAATTTGTGATTTTAAGACTAGTTTGAATTTTGAATTTAGGACTAGTTTGAATTATTATTGAGATTTTAGGACTACTAATAGTTTGAATTTGGGATTTTGGCACTATAGTTTGATTTTTGAATTCTAGGAGTACTTTCAATTTGTGATTTTAAGACTAGTTTGACTTTGGAATTTAGGACTATATTTTTGTAGATGGATCATCGTTTGTGGATGTATAATATGCATTATGAAACTGGTGCTGGTTTGAAACCTGAGTTTGTTGACGGTGTTAGAAATTTTATTGAACATACAATGACACTTGACATTTTCAAGAATAATGCATTGGTTAGGTGTCCTTGTAGTGCATGTAAGTGCTTAAATTTTTTAAACCAAATACAGTTATGGTTCATTTGTACCGCAATGGATTTAAGCCTAGATATTTTGTATGGATTGATCATGGAGAAAGTGATGGATTGGATGGTATGTTTTATAATTCGATGCCTATGGATGTATATAACATGGTTGCACCACATGGCCAAATTAGGGTTGAATAGGTTAGGGTTGAACATGATAGGGTTCATGAAATGATCAATGATGCTTTCGGGGTTCAAGGTAAGATGGAACCGGAACAATATTTTGATGAAGCTCCTAATGAAGAAGCAAGACGCTTTTATGATCAATTAGAAGAGTCTAGTCGTCCACTATGTGAAGGAAGTCCGTATTCTGCCTTGTCAGTTGCGATTAGATTAATGAGTATTAAATCAGATTGGAATGTTCCACTGTATTCATCGATGAGGTATGCCCCACATATGAGATGGCATCATGAATATAGAAGGTCG